ACAGTATTAAGAACATATGTTTTTTTTTTTTCTCTACTGCAGCTTGTTAGGAGTTTTTTCTTTTTTTTCTTTTTTTTGTACGGAAAACCGCGTTCCTCGTTCTTTGCTCCTAAACCCGCACGGAAACGCTTGCTACGCAACAAGGCAACGCAAGGCAACATGATCCGCTGTCACGCCGGCTTTTCTACGACTTTCCCGAGTATGTAAATTAAGTTCTCAGAAATATTTCAATGAACAGACACACAAATTATTGTTTAATTTTCCCCAGACAAATTTAATGTATTCCTTCAACACTAATATGCAAGTGTTCTTTTTCTTTTATCTGTTTAAGGGAACCTGATAACCACCGTTTTAGCACAGACGGATAAAATTACAGTCACTTCCGTATATCTGGTATTATGGCTTAGACGTGCCAGTTGGCTCGAAGTTGAGACCAAGATGGAGTAAATGCAAGTTTTAAAGTAAGTAGTTACAGTTTTAAATCGCTTATGATGACCCTCCATCCCTTAGGAAACACTGTTTGAATTCAGAGGTCCACGCAACACGTAAATATAACTGACTGGTTCCTGGATCTCTAATTAAAGAGATGCTTTAGCCAGACGTCACTTAAAGTGTAAGATAAAACAAAACTGAATGCAGGGCTGGCACTACGGCAAAGGACTGATTTATTATAGGCCAATATTTCGGCTAACAAAATTAGCCTTCCTCAAGGCCAGAGCTATACCGACAGAAAAACAAAATTAGACTTTCTCAGGGCCAGAGCTATAACCGAGAGAAAATATCAAATTCTCTCGGTATAGCTCTGGCCCTGAGGAAGGCTAATTTTGTTCTAGTAGCCGAAATGTTGGCCTATAATAAGTCAGCCCTTTGCCGTAGTGCCAGCCCCACATTTAGTTTTGCTTCCGTTCATTCTTTCTATTATGTTTTGACCAAGTTGTCTTTAGAATCGCTCTTTGGACTTAAATCAGGGGCACGCAATGTCAATTTTCGGAAATATCTGTTCGGAAGACGCTTCGGAACATTGTTGTAAAATTCCTTGCTTGCCTGCCTCTCCTATGATTTTCGAACATCTAAAAACTGGTAATGAGATAATTGCCCATATTTAACGGATCCCTGTAACTTTCGGATCACTACACTTTCAGCTAGGAAATCCGAACAGATGAAAAATTTTTAGGGGATAAGAATATGCCTAGTTCTACCGTTTATATGCTAAAATACGTTTAACAATGCTATGTTTAAGTGGTTTTGAACTATGTTCTCTTCGGGTGCCTCTGATAGACATAAAAATTTAAAGCATTCTTACGGTATTCTTTAAACACTAATAAGGAAGTGTTCTTTTGCTCTTATTTGTTAGGGGAACCTGATAAACACCGTTTCAGCATAAAGGGATGAAATAACAGTCAGTTCCGTTTAAGCTGAAATAATAAATATCTAGTTCTGAGTCTTCGACGTGTATGTTGGTTCGAAGTTGAGTAGTACACGATGGAGTTAGCAAGTGTTAAAGTAAGTAGTTGCAGTGTTTAATCGTTACTGATTCCAAGTTTCTATTATGTTTAAATAAGCTGCCTATAGAATAGATCTTTGGACTTAAACGGAGGTTCTCTAAAGATTTCTCATTACAAAAACCGAAATGCCACAGACCGATAGACACAATCTTGTCACAACAAAATATGAAGTAAACAATAACTCGGTAGGAAGTTATATTGTCTACAAATCAAAGCTACTTGTGAGGAAAACTAAGAGCAGAAGGATTGATTCAAGCAATAGAAAACGTGTTCCGTGTTTGCCTAGCCTGATATAGGCACGAGAGGGGTTGGGAGAATTCGAGACAGTTATGCAAACCCGAGACGAAGTCGAGGGTTTGCATAACTGCTCGAATTCTCCCAACCCCTCTCGTGTCTATATCGGGCTATGCAAACATAGGAAAAAAAGTTTTCTAATGCTTTTATAAAATAACTTTCCCGAGAAAAAAACGCAAAACTCTTTGTATGCCACTGATTAAAAGAAAAATTCTTACCAGTCGCAAAATCTTGTCCACGAAGTCTTGCAAGCACGCGTAATCAGTTCTTGTTTTGCAAAAAGATGCTTTGCAAAATACGGATTTTTCTCGCTTAAAATGTCAGCTTAAGCGAAAAAAAATTGATTCACCTTCTTTGTAACAATTTTCCATGTTTCAGCCGAGGAAGGAATGGGTAAATAAAATAAACTTGTCGAGTTTTGAACTCGAAAACTTTTTCAAATTCGAGCTTGCGTGATTAGCGCGCGAAAAGCCAAACAACTTGACGCCACAACCATGTTTACATACTCTCATGCAAACAGTCCTCTCGACCAATCAGAGCGCGCGTACTATCTTAGTTATTTTATAAACAATGATAGTAAAGGGTAAAAACCCTTATTATTAACATAAAGCCTAAATAACTGATAAATGACTAAAAGTTGCGTGAGACATTGGTTACCAATTGTTTGAAATGTTAACTATGCCTCGTCTATATTGTTTAGAAATGATTTATCGACAAATATTAACAGCAAACATAATCCTAATTTGACATCCTTGTTTACTCCGCCAGGTCCAACTGTTCACGATTGTATGGATGATGTTATGTATTAATAATATTCAATGTAAGTACAGCACAGGCCAATTGCCAGGACAATTTCACCCAAACACACATTATTCTGAAATGCTATAGTCAACTGGGCTTCCCGTAGGCAGGCCAAGTTTATAAAATACCTTCGATTTTCTCTCTGGGGGTTGTATCCCTAGCAATTCGTGGTAGGGATTTTTCGACTCATTCTCGCAATCCTAACTGTAGACAGTAATTTCAGATGAATAGCTGTATTAGGCAAANCGCCAGGTCCAACTGTTCACGATTGTATGGATGATGTTATGTATTAATAATATTCAATGTAAGTACAGCACAGGCCAATTGCCAGGACAATTTCACCCAAACACACATTATTCTGAAATGCTATAGTCAACTGGGCTTCCCGTAGGCAGGCCAAGTTTATAAAATACCTTCGATTTTCTCTCTGGGGGTTGTATCCCTAGCAATTCGTGGTAGGGATTTTTCGACTCATTCTCGCAATCCTAACTGTAGACAGTAATTTCAGATGAATAGCTGTATTAGGCAAAATGTGAGCAAGTACCTACCGGAACTTTTGCATATTTCTTTGTTCAGTAAACGGCCTCTATCAATGATTCATTGAGCTATCCGGGGGCGTATTCCTGGGAATTGCTGGTGGGGTCTATTGCTCCGTTTGCCAAATCTCTACTCCAGATTTTGTATTAGATCAGAACCTCTAAGACAAATGTAAGAGAGTACTTCCCCGGAGAATTTCGTTGTCACAACGATAAACAGATCTAAACGCGATCAATTATCAATTTGGTAACTTTTAAGCATGTTAAGCGATAGCCTCCCACGGAGGCGTTTTTAGGGGAGATTGTTTTTCATCCCTCCCCATTCTTGTGGGGAGGGATGCAAAAAGGAGGAAAATGCCTGGGTGGGAGGCTAGTTAAGCAAAGGCAGCCATTCAATGAAGATGTGTTTGAAGCTGGCTTACTCTGTTTTTGCATCGTCTCCTTCAAAAGATGATAGGATGAGTACCTTTTGTGGTATTTCTCCACTTTTTGTTGAAGTTCAAACCTTTTAATGAGTTTTTCCCTTCCAAAACGTCGTTGCAAATTTCTGTGTATAGCTAGAGAGTGTGTGTGTGTCTGCGGTGTACGTCCATTGAATAAAGACGTCTCTGAAGCTATCATTGCACTTTTTCCAGTGCCTTTTTCAGTGCCAAAAAAATGCTGATGTCAAAACATCATTTCTTTGTAAGGGATACGAATAGAGGGAATCGAAGTTTTTTGGTCAAATTTGACAATAATTTATCTTACATGTATTTCTGAGCTCCCATAGTTGTTTTTACGATTTTTCTGAAAACAGTAGTATAATGGCTATGTCTTTTTAAAGGTTTACTTTGCAGTACACCACCAGGCGTGCCCAATGGACAGGCTCGATACAGGTCCACCCGCCCAGGTGACATTGTTACTTATGCGTGTTACCAAGGTTACACTTTGTCTGGTGCAGCACAGAGAACTTGCCAAGCGAATGGAAAGTGGGATGGAGTGGCACCCGACTGTGGTGAGCTAACGTTTAAAAACGTTAAATTCTTATATACTCGTTAGTAAGGAGTTTGAGGAGACTACTGCTGTTCAAATGCAAAGATAGTAATGTGTTAACTGCCGTTAATATCAAATCCACCACTCCTTTCCGCTTTGCCCATCAGTGCTGTATAAGGCATCTGGTTTACCTACCAGCTGAGTTGGTAGTGTGTGTATCAGTGCTGAAAATGGTATTAAATAACTCAGAGCTTGCGCATTACCTTATTCATTCAGTCTTTTGCTAAATTGTCCTCTTTTTCCAGTGAGAACATGCCGCTTACCAGTGATTCCGAGTTCTATGTATATCGCTAGACCGTCAAACTATAACCGTACGTACCTGACTGGTGAGGTAATCACTTTAGCTTGCAAAAAAGGCTTCCAGGAGCAAGCAGGTGGTAATCCTGTTAGAGTCTGTATCCATGGGAGATGGACACAATTCCCATTTAAGTGCAAAGGTATTCATTAACTGTTAATTGAACTTCTCAAAAAAATATACTCGGCATATTACTTGTTTCTTTCGGTCATAAGCAAGTAACTAATTAGTCCTAATGGAGTTCTTTTTTAACATAACCACAATGAAATTAGAAATATATATTTTTGTATTAAAACACTGCTTTGTGGAACTACTGCGAAAGTAAAGTTAAGTATAGTAAAGTAAAGTAAAGTAAAGTACTTACTCTTTCTGTTATGGGTTCCATACAAATCTAAAAACAAGTCTTAGTTCTAATAACCTCATTGACTCGAAATAACTCATACAAAACTACAGTTTTCATTATCTGAATAAAGACTGTTTCTTGGCTCATTATGAACTTAACTGAAAGTCATTGAAGTGAAAACTTTTTATTTGTGTATAGAGAAAATAACTTGCGGCTTCACAACTGTAAATTCAAGGCTCCGGATAGCTGGAGGAAAAAGATCTAAGAGAGGTAGATGGCCATGGCAGATTGGACTCTACGGAAACAGCAAAGGAGGTACACAATTCCTTGTCGTGATATCTTAATCTTAGTGTAGCGGGCAAAAAGTTACATAAACAAACAAGCAAACACACCAATAAGCAAGCAGGAAAAGCGACAAAAGCATGTTTTTCGTCGTGCGTTGTGCTATTTTTTCTTCGTTTCGAAGAATGTGCAATAACTTTGTAACGTTTACTCCTCCACAAAACCTAGCAAAAAGAAAACAACATATATATATATATATATATATATATATATCATATATATCGGAACTCTAGCTTTTAATCATTTGTTTACCTTAGTAAATCTTGTAATCATTTCCATTAGGGATCATATTTCTCTGCGGAGGTGCCCTTATCTCCCGTCAATGGGTCTTGACCGCTGCGCATTGTTTCTATGGAAAAGGTGTATTTTACGGAAATGCAAGTTGGTAAGCTACAACAGCAGTTTTATATATATATATATATATATATTAGCCAACGTTTTCACGTTGTTTTATACTTTGATGTGTTTTATGATACCATTTAATTTTATTTACACAAAAATACAACACGATAATTCGTTGTACAATAATCACATTAAGTGATTTTGGTTAATTACGCGTCGTCATATGTGACGTCATGGGAGCTTATCTGAAGGCTCGTTGCATGAATCGGTAAGTCATAAGCTTAATGCGAAGGGCAAGCACGTTACCCAGCCATAAGCTCAATTCGTTATTATGCCCGAATCTATGGCTCATGCAGAACCTACTGAAGCTATCAGACGTTCATCGCACGAGGAGGCTTTCCTGTACGACTTTGGCCTCCCTTCGATTGACAATACAGAACAGAAACACCAAAAACAGGAAAGCAAACACGCGGACACACCGCTAAAACCCAAAACACCTATCCAGAAATCCAGTAGAGATCAGCTCTTTGACGATCCTGGCTTGTTAGCACTGAAAATAACTATTTTCCCGGCGGAGCGAGAAAATTTGGCCCTGGAGTTGGAGCTTCTTCGCCTGAAGCAATCACAGCCATCGACTACACCCAAATCGCAGAGTGCTGACCTCGGAACATCTGCCTCTGCTTCGGTCGCTCGGAAGAAACGCCACGTCGACTGGCCGCAGTATTTCTGCTCAGGTACGTCTACCTCTGTAGATGCTGGCTATCTTGCCATGATAAAAACATACGAACCGGAGACATTTAAGTTCGTGCTCAGCCAAATCGAGCTTCTCATGCTCAAGGGCATCAGTTACACTTGGAGTAGTGTACGTTCCTTTCACGCTAACATTAAAAAACAAGTAGAGCTGTATCGCCAGGAATGGAACGATGCAGCGGATATTTGCGACCGGGCAAGCACCTTCTTTTAACACTCGGACTTACGTCCTTCCCCCACCTGTCGCGCGACCTCCTCGTCGGCTCCTTCAATGTGCGCGAAGCCGGACTCAACTCAACAAAATCAGGGTTGTCGGCAACGGAATTACACGGGCTCTTGCAGTTGCGATAAGGAAAAAGACACTTATTCTAAGCAACACAGGCGTCGTGTCTGTACACAAGACCATCCTATGCTTCATTGTGCGAAGCGTAGAAATCTTATTCCGTCAATGTTTTGACACAGTGTTTCCATGCCGCACCCTTCTTGCTCGGAACTGACCTCGGACCTCCCAATAAAATTACGGACACTCCCGCTTGCATGCCTTCATGAATTTTTCATTCACTTCCTCGTCCGGCTTCGAGCTCTACTACATCGGCTGTCATTTGCCATGTCCTTGCTTCACGGTCGGATCAAAACAATGCTTTCGGGGAGAGAATTCCTGTTCCAACAGCATTAAACATTTACATGTGGAATCATCTTTTGCTTGATTATGATGATGAAATCGTAGTAGAATTTTTCAACTACGGTTGGCCGATTAATTATAAGTCTCATCAGTTGCAGCAATCTACCCAACACAATTTTCCTTCAGCCTTGGGGTTTTCAGATCATGTACGCGCGTACATCAAAGCTGAGTTGTCTTTTACCACTATTGCCGGTCCTTTTCAAAAGAATCCGCTGCACCAACACCTGATTTGCTCCCCACTACAAACTGTTCCTAAATGCGGTTCTACCAAACGCCAGGTGGTCATGGATTTGAGTTATTCTCCCTCTTTTTCTGTGAACAGCGGTATTTCATCGTCTGCGTATCTTGATTCTCCTTTTAAACTCCGTCTTCCCGAAATTGAAAGATTGCGCGAGTTCATTTTATCAAAAGGGCGTGGTTGTCATGTTTTCAAAAGAGATCTCTAACGCACTTATCGCCATTTCCCAACCTATCCCAAAGGCTATCACTTAATGGGTTTTAATTTTTACAATCAACTGTATTGTGACACACGAAGCCCCTTTGGCTTGAGAACCTCAGCGATGATTTGTCAATGAACGACTAAGACCGTCATTCCCATTTTCACGCAGTCCGTTTTTTTGCGGACGTTTATTTAGACGATTTTTATGGCGCCGAAATTCCAGCGCTGACTGAAACAGCGTTTGCCGCTTTGCAGTCTCTTTTTTTGATTCCTTAGGCTTGGCCTCTTCTCCGGAAGAAGATTTTCCATCCGCTACTAAAAAGGTTTCCTTAGGTATTCACGTTAACACCGACGATTGGACTTTGAGTGTTCCTGATTTTCAGCTTCTCGACTTATCGGACGATTTCACTATCAAGGAACTGCAGTCCATACTTGGCAAACTTTCATTTCGTTCCCGTCCATTCTAGTCGCATTTTTCTTTCGCCCCTTCTGGATACTTTGCGGAGCTTTCCTTTATTCGAGTGCCTACGTTAAACATCAACCCGTCAAACCAGAAATGCGCTAGGATCTAGTATGATGGCACAGTTTTCTTCCCTATTTTAACAGGTTCTCCGAAATAAAGCCTCCGGACTGGCTTTTTACGAACTTGCGTTTTACCGCAGACGTTTGTATGGTTCGTGGTGGTGCACCTTGCAGATAGCAGTGCCTCAAACAGTTTTCATTCCAGGATTTTGTTCTTTCTTTCGCGTGTCACATTTCAGCTTCTGAACTCTTCACGGTCGTTGTTGCTATGAAGTTCTGGGCTCCTTTTTTGCAGGACCAGCGGCCCTTTCTCAGCGCCTGTGACAACGAGGCGCCGTTATCGTGGTCAATTCAGGGTCCACCAAGAATCCTCTCATGCAACGGTGTTTGCGACAAGTTTGGTTTATTTCAGCTCTTCACGATTTTGAACCGCACGCTTGGCAAATTCCCGGCGATCAAAACTTGTTTGCAGATGCCTTAAGCCGCTGGCCCATCTCCTCTTACCAAGCCAAGATTCTCGAACTTTCTACCGAGCTCGGGATCAGTTATTCCTTTCAACAGCTACCTAGAGACTTCACTTATTTTGATGTTGATTGATACTCTACTTTCAGTCGTTCCTTTCTTTTAGGGTCTCATGTCCATGTTCCTTTTTAGATGTCTTTATCCAGCGTCTTCTCCATCACGCCTTTGCTGAATCTACTCATCGGAATATTAAGTCCTACGTTAACGTGTATACTAGGTTTTGTAATTCAGTCGCTTGTTCTCCCTCCCCTGTTGAAGTCGATACTCTCTCTAAGAGAACCTTTGGAACTATTATTGATCATTTGAGAAGCATCAAACACGTTAATCAGCCTTTAGGCTTCAATAGGGTCTGGGATACAGGGTGGGGGGGGGGGGCACGCTTCACATTAGGGCTTCAAAAACTCTTCAATTTCAGCAACGTTCTTTGACAATCCCATTGCCTGGCATTCCTGGTTCTCCCTTATGCCCCGTCGCGGCCTTACAGTCACATTTGCGTTTCAGTTCCGGCCATGCTCACTCTCCCCTATTCTCAGTTATTTCTCTCACGTCTCAGCGTTTAATTCCTATCACGTATCGTCATTTTGTTCTTTTCTTTCTACAACCATCAGCGCGATAGTTTTAGTTCCGGCACATTATTCTCCCCACAGTTTTCACCGTTGTGGTGCTAGTTTTCCTTTCAAGTGCAACGTTCCTGCACAACTCATTCATAGGCAAGGGGATTGGCAAAGCGATGCTTATTTAGCGTATCTCAATATGTCTCTAGAGCAAAAGCAGCTCGCGGTCACTACTATGGCAGATGATATCTTAGGTTATCTTCCTTTTGACATTTCGTTGTCAACTCTTATCTCACAATGACATCATAGTATTCTATTTTTTTTTTCTTCCTCCTATTACTCCTACAATCACGCTTTTTCAAAGCTACACAACCTCGGTTTGGGCCTTTGGCGGGAGTCTATTGATTCAGTTACCGGCGTCATTCGCTACTCAGTGTTCTTGTTGTCGAATCTGACTCAATAAACTTGCTGCCCAAACCTCTTGTTGTGTTGTCTTTGAGAACATGTAATTGTATAATAATTGCATTAAGTGATTTTTGTTAATTACGCGTCGTCATATGTGACGTCATGGAAGCTTATCTGAAGGCTCGCTGCATGAATCGGTCAGTCATAAGCTCAATTCGAAGGGCAAGCACGTTACCCAGCCCTCTCTTCCAAGGGAGTATATTGATTCAGTTATGACGTCATTGTTGCTCAGTGTACTTGTTGTCGAATCTGACTCAATAAACTTGTTGCGGAAACCTCTTGTTCTGTGGTCTTTGAGAACGCGTAATTTCATCAGCAAGTACTCAATCTATAAAATTTGTAAAAAATCTTCTGATTTCAAGTCTTTGATTAAATTTTGAGGTATGGCGGCTTTTAAATAGAGTCTTACATTCTAGCTCAGCAAACTCACTTTTGCTATATTTCAACTCATTTTCTAGGTACCTAGTTAAGGTTGGTGATCATAACAGGAGAAGAAATGAAATCTCGCAACAACAAGTAATACCCGAAAAAATATTTATTCATCAACAATACAAACATTTTTCCTCTGTAGACGCTGATTTAGCTCTCGTCAAACTTCGAACACAGGTTAAACTTACTGCATTTGTTCGAACAGTGTGCTTACCAGAAAAGCAGGAAGGTGATTTGGCAATCCCTGGGACGAATGGGTTCGTGGCAGGATGGGGAGTAACACGTGCTTTACGACATGGAGAATTTGCCAAGCCCAACGACACATCCAATGTTCTTCGTCACGCAGTTTTCAAAGTTCAAGACAATAATATTTGCTTGAAAAAATCATCAATCACTTACAACTCAACCTTGGCATTTTGTGCTGGAGATGGCGGAAGAGGTGTAAGGGATTCTTGTAAGGGAGACAGTGGAGGGGCTTTTGTTCGTAAAGTAAGAAGAAGGCCTAATTTGCACTGGGTGGCTGTTGGAATAGTCAGCTGGGGGGAGGGGTGCGCACAGAAAGACAAGTATGGTTATTACACTAGATTGTATCCATTCATAGACTGGATAAAAAAGACAATGGATAACCGTAAGTTTCACAATATACTGTCTTTAATTTTTTTAAAAAAGAAACAACTTAAAATAAGGCAAGTTCAGAAACTTACCATAATGAAGAAGAGGAAAAGTTGTTGAAGGCATCCTGCAAAGTAAAGCTGTAAGGTTTTGATGTAATGAACTCTAAACTTAAAAATGGAAATTATATTTTTCTTTAGTGACGTCCAAATCAACGTTTCGGATGATAATCAGCGCTCTTTGATTAGCCCTGACAAACAGCTTATGACTTAAAACGCTATCTTTTCAATCTTTTAACGGCGACAAATTGACGTAACAAAACTCAGTTGATAAAACGAAGCCAAAATCTGATTACAGTCAACTACTTTAATTTGTTTTTAAGTTTTATGTACAGTCGTATTAATTTCAGGTCGAGCCATAAGCGTCGTGGGATTTTTTTCCAAAGACAATTTCGAAAATGACCTCCTTGTGACCGCCACATCTTTTTGGGGTGACGGTTTTATGATCTTCCATTGTTTTTAACCTACATTAAG